AATGACTAGTAACTTACTATTTGAAACAGTTCTTGACAACACTAATAGATGATGTTCCTGTCAGCATTTGGTCTTTGATAATATAGATGACAAAAAAAAAAAACGCTCTAAACTTTTCAAATCCATATTGTCTGTATAAGAATTAATTGTATCGCAGGCTTAATTGCTTCTTTGCCATTTTATTTTATTGGAATGTTACAATTATGCCCTCCTCTGCTTTGTTTTTTTCTCTTATTTTGCGGCCTTTTTCGTCATTTTCCCTGTTGTTCTTGCCAGCATTAAATGCTCTATAGTAATCCTCCAGCACGGCAAGCTACTAGTAAAATCTAAAATCATAAAGAGAAAAGAAGGACCACCGCTAGTGAGAGGCACCAACGGTAGCTAGACAATTGCTTTTTAAGATCAGTTTTTTTTTTTTTTTAGATAGATATGAGAGAGAGAGAGAGAGAGAGAGAGAGAGAGAGGGAGGAGAGAGAGAGAGAGTTGAGTGATTTGTTAAAAGCCTATTTTACTACTTGTGATGAAAATTTTGGTTAATACTCTCATCTTTCGTTATATGATAGATGAATTTTTCAATATGTTATTAAAAAAAAGTTTTTAATATGTAATTATATTTTGAATTGATTTTTAATATATCATTTTATTTAAATTTTTAGACTAAATTAAGTCAAATTAAACATACAATTTGAACATTATATATTATTTGATAAAACGATCTTTGCTATTTAGTATAAATAATCTATATCTATTAATTTTTGAAAATTGAAAGAAAATTTTGACCTGAAAGGTAGATTAGAAACAAGTTCAAAATGTAAAAATAAATTAGAAGTGTTTTTTTTTAGAGACAGATTAACAAATTGACAAATTATATAAGGCTAGGGTAGCATATTAACTTTGAAAATTTTAACTTTAGCCGGTTTTTTGCAATGTCATTGTAGAGATGAATATAATATGATATTTTCATTTTTCAAAAAATTCTTAGGCATGTTTGTTGTGTATTTAATAAGTGTATAACTAGAAGTCCAGTCCATTGCTGAGTTGTACCTGTGCAGTAGCAAAAAGCATTCATCGTACGCAGGAGGTTCTTATTTGTTTCTGGGTCTATTATTAGGCCCCTCAAGATGGAGGACCTTGCATTGAAGTTCCCCTAACGGGCTTGCTAAAACTTGGTGGGCTCCTGTCAATGCTCAGTCATAAGGTGTCACAAGCGCGTAAAGATTATGCAATTCTGAATGATGCTGTGCATTTATCTCTGAAGCAATGTGTCAAATTCCGGATTAAATGCTTCACAGGCATATGAATGTATGTATTGCTGTGAGCAAAAGTTTTCTGTCAATATATAGCAGCATTCAGTTTTAATATAACAGGAACATTGAGCACAAAAATATTACTCCCCCTGATGCTTTAAAACTCTCCCAATTAACATGGCAAATGAGATGCATTTCGGGGTTTCCAATTAGGCTGATTGGCTTGAACATGATACCTTAACACTTCCTCAATTCACATTTGAGATTGAAATCGATTGATCTTATTTTTCTCGATTAATTTTTTCGATGAGCTGAAGCTTGGTAAAAACTCTCTGGACAGTATTACGAGGACACAGTGGACTTGTCATGGGCTTTTTTGTTACTTTCATTTGTTATTCCGGACCAGTCATCCCTCCCAATTTTCTGGAGATTTTGTAATATGGGCTGCATTAGAGGAGGTTACAAGTCGCTGCATAGACAAATCCATTGCTTGCATTGAGCTATGGACCGAAGTGAGACAAGCCCAATTTCAACCAGAGTTCTCGAGGATCAAGTTTTGAATAGAGAAAGGCCCAGTGTCGAGGCTCTCCATAAAATACAAAAAAGAAGTTGCTGTTTACCTTACTTTTATCATCCATGCAGCATGTGATACATGGGTTGCTGTTCATGTGAATGTACATGGACGGTGAAAAAGATTATAATTAACACATATTATCGAAAACAGTTTTTACCTGAAAACTGAAAGAAGCATAGTCCCAGATGGCGGATACTGCAATAACCGAGTACCTGAACGTGCAATTGGTCTCGGTGTGAAGAGACAAATCATTCTGATTAGCGTTTCAGTTTCTGTTGACTGCAGGTGTTATGCGCACAAAAGGCATTTGCAGATTGAAGGATAATTTTTATGTAAAACTTTTCGGCTCGTCTTTGGGAGTTAAGTTTTTTTTTTTTCTTTTTTGAACAGTTGCTGATCATCTTGTGCGTTTAGTGCACTAAATTAATCAAGTGGTCCTGCAGCTTTACCATACCAATGACCAAACATCATACTTAATTAACGTGTGACTTGAATTTCATCATTACATAGCACGTGAAAATACTAATAATAAATATTATCACTATATGTTTTATTTATTATGACGAAGGTATTCAAAACTTTGGTTCATCATCTAGTAATTTCAGTAGGCAGATTAGATCACTGCAATCACATACATCCGGAAATGAATTAAAACTGAGACCAGAACATAGAATCCGAGAGAACAGTAGTGAGTACCGCTGAGAGCCCGCAAGTTTCGTTTTTCTTCCGAACTTCGAAAAAGAACGACAGATTTGATTGTTCAAAAGAAATTAAGCTGAGCAGGTCCCTAGTATCTATGCATGTCGATCCTTTAGTAGAAAAATCGCACGTACTCGGGCCCTCCATCCACTAGCTAGTGACATGCTCAATTTGCATGACCATGACTATCGCCATCACCTGGTCCTCCAATGCTCTATCGCATCATTAATTCCTGCATACCAGGCCTTCTTGAGCTTTAATTCTTTGGTGCTTCTCTCATACATCATTTCTGTGCATCATTCTTTCTAAAGGCTATCCTTAGCATTCATGATCACTTTCTACTGCCCAAACCTATGCTTTGTGTATCTACACTTAGATTCCGTCGGCACTTAATAAATAGTTAATTAATTAGTTATCTCAACTAGATAATCTGCTCGTGAGTATAAACACTGATTTATTGAGTAGTTGTTAAATATTTATTGATAAATATATGAGTCTATTGCATCAATCAATTTAATTGATTACCTTTATAATCTTTATCAATTATGTCGTACTACATGATATTTATGTGTTTATATATTTAATAATTTGTTCTGGCCTGGGTAAAAAATAATTAACACTCATCCTTTTCTAATGTGATTATCCAACCGAAATTGCCAATAAATCTTTATTATTTTTCGACAATGCCTGACATGCTTTGTATGGTATATAAAAATATACTTTTAATGTGTTTAGTATGCTGGACAGAACAATATTGAACGTTATAAAGTTGTACGAGATCAAATAAATCATACAATATGCTAAGTGATCAAACAAATCATACTTTTAATGTGTTTAGATAGGATGAGGATTCTCGTGGCATTATCATGAAACAAACTTATCTAATGCTATAGATAAAATCATTACTTTTTATAGCATCCATTATTTATTTATCACTTATTATTTTTTAATGTGACTGACTAAAGTATGACCAAATTTATCTATATTTTATCAAAATAAAATTTTAAAAGCAGGTGCTTAATCGCATATATATATTCAGATAATATATTGCATATATTGAAAAATAGAGAACCGATTTTTTTTTATTTATTATTAAGAACTAAAATTTCATGAAAATAAAAAATATATAATAAAATAAAATATTGAAAAATCTTAGAGATGAAAATGAATTTTTGCAAAATCTTTATCCACCCTTGTCCTCTTGATGTGCCAAATTTAGTCGACTCATCTATTATCCAATTCAGTCATGTTTGGATTTATTTAGTACGTACTATTTTGTATAACAAATATATATATATATATGAACTTTATTTTTAATGAAAGTTTAGTGCACAGTTTTATATATTAGGATGATGACCTCGTTACTTTTTTCCATTTTGCCTCACTTAATCAACGTAGGTTTAAAAGTTAAGATTAGTTTATAATAAATTAAATATTGCAACCTTAAATGGGCCTACCTTGTTCTGTCTGGTTTCCTGTCACTAATGCTAAAAAAAATTAATAGGAGTCTTAAAATGCCTTTCCATGCTGATCATTTCATGATGAGACAGAAATGCATTACCAACATCAACCTCCTAATAATTTGAGTTCAGTTTATAGAAGAAAGCGCAATATTAATATTGGGAGGATATATTTCTTCCGTACGCCACCACTGTCTGCTCTCTCCCTCCCAATCCCAAATTCCTAACAGATCAACCAATTGCGTTTTTATTTTGATTTGCCATAAATTTTTGCTTTTATGTATATTATTGAAAAACGAGTTGATGGCAACTTCAGTATGAAATTTTAAATTCAGGTAGAATTTTTTAGATTCAGATCGATCCTTGTACCTAATTCATTACTCTTTAATTTCTGCTCTATTTCCTGATGTGATTAAGCTAGAGAGATGCACTATTGACAAGAAAAGACTGCGTAGCTGAACTCTGTTAATGAAGCTCCAAGTCATAGTGTTAGTTGGATGGCTACTATCATTTGATGCTTGCAAGACATGCCATAGATGAATGGCCGTTCTTACCAGTAATTAATTTCCTTTGCTTTTCTAAAGCACAAGAGGTTAAAACGGGGATCGAACTGTTACTTTTAATGCTTTAACCAATTATTGCTCCATGTCCTAACTCCAAAGTCAAAAGGCTAAAAGATATAGTCCACATGGGTTGATAATGCATGCTTTGTTTCTCCATCAATTTAGTGGAAAATCATGATCATGGCACAATCTAAGCAAGCCACTACAATGCTGGACTTTACACCAAAGACAGAGAGAAAAAGAAAGACAAACAAACATTCCATACTGTACATACAGGCAGGAAAAAAAAAAAAAAAAGAATTGATGAAAGAAGATAGAAATAGAAAGAAAAAGAAAAAGAAAAAAAGAAGCAAAATCTAAGATAGGACAATATGGCAATGTTCTTCTCACAGCTTCTAATAGTAATATCATCAAATTAATAACCAATCAACAAAGGAAAATGTACAATATTATTCTCTTATAGGGTGCCATTGGAAATTGGTACTGCTCCTCTTTTGATGCTATCCATATGTGTTGTTTCATACACAGGCAGACCATTTGAGTAGATACCCAAGTCATAGTTTTGCAATTCAAACAAATCAGAGCTTGAATCACTCTCAGCTCCATCATCCAACTCATTGAACTTCCTAAATTCCTTTTCTCCTGATGTATACTGGTCAACCCAAGTCCTCTCTTTCTCTACATATTGGTTACCACGATTCTTGGTTACTTTCTGATCTGAGAACCCATCATTGAATTTATATTTATCTTCCAGCCAAGATAAATCTGTGTTCTTTTTATCATCCAATATCTCATTTTGGAAGGCAGCGGACTTCACAGTCCCATTCTGCTTTGACAAGGAAACTATTTGATTGTGATCCGAATAGCTTCTGAACTCCTTGTAGCCCTTTGTAGGAGTGTGTGCATAAGGAGGGGGTGTCCTAAAACCAGAACTTGAAGAAGAATACAAAGACTTTGTTTCAGTAGTGCTCGAGCTTCGAAAATGACTAATGCTGCTCCTCCTTTTCCTCCTTCCACCAGGGCTCTCATCATCATCTTTCAATGATTTTGTGGCGGACTTTGATTTCTTCTTTTTAGAGCTTGTTTGATTGAAGAGAGAATTCAAGAAGCTAGCTAGTCTACCACCTGGAGAGCTTGGTTGCTTGTATTTCTTCTCTTTCAGTATTTGCTTCTCCACTGTATGAGACTGTTGATGGAGAAGGTGAGGTAGTGGATTTCTCATAGGTACATCTAGGCTCATTCTCCCTCCCCTCCAAGAATGTTTATGATCTTCTCTCATGACTTTCTGGGTGTAAGTTGCACCCTTATACCCTGCACCTGCTTCATTGTATCCTGAGAAATACCTTGACGCCTCGAACACATCAAGCTCATCAGAATCATTTCTCCGATGCAAAGATTTCTTGTAAGCTTTACCAGTGTCAGATGAGAGTTCTGTGATGGACATTTTTTTGAGAATATTGAAAGTTTTCTTCTAATAGGTGCTGTGAAAGTTGATTTTGGAAGTTAATGTCACAGGATATGGAAAGTTATTTATGGGAGGAGAATTATGAGAAGGGAGTATGGTATGTGTGATGGTAGAATAGAGGGAATAGAAGGAATGGTTTTGAAATGATTGAGAGTGGTGGCAGGGGTATAGCTTTATAACAATCAATCACTTTGCCACTGTCCATAACATTATATGATGAAGAGTGTTTTTGGAGGTTTTTGGAAGACACCCCTGCACCTTGATGTGAATTTTGTGCTTTATAGTTTTATAGAAGTGAAGTGGGGTACTAAGGACATGCTTTTATCCTTCTCTTGCTGTGAAAACCAGAGGTTTGGTTGGGGATGGTGGGGAGCAAAGAGCTGTGTTTCCTTGGATTCTAGGGTTCTATTCTGTTTTAGTGGGGGTTGGCTTTCAAGTATGTTGGCTATGGGGTTATGTATGGCCATGTACTACAAGCTTACCTTTGCTTGAATATCATCATTCTAGAGTTGGAGAATTTGGTAGATCCCACACTTCTTTTGAGAGCTTGGAAGTCACTCTATAATTATTTGGAATATTACATTATATGAAGACTAATTACTCTTTAACTAAGAGTCCAAAACATTTTTGACTGGTGTAAATCAACTCTATGGCCCAGCAATATCTAGTTTGCCTCTTAATTCTTTGTGAGAGTTGAGGTTTGAGTCTTTTGATAGAGCGTCGTACACATTCCTGACCTAGTGGCTCCAATTCCGGGACATGAGTGCCTGCTGGCCCTGGACTCTTTGGATAAAAAGATGATCTCTCATTCATGATTTTCTTATTTGTCGTTTTGGTGTTCAGGTGCTCCTTTGACGTTGCCCAAAATAATCAGTAAACTTCTACATGTTCAGGAAAAAAAAAGGAGGAATTAGTATATATGTGACCGATCACATATTAACTGGAAAGATACATGGAAATATGATTATGATGGGAAATTGGGTCATTGCAGTTTAGCAAATAAATTTCTAGATCACATTATGCATGGAGGGATGCAAATACAATGCAATGGTGAATAATAAACGGTGAGAGTTCCAATTAGCAAACGAACATTCTAACTTGTAAAGTGTTGAATAATAACATGTATGAAAGAAGACAGGTTTAGGTCTGTATCATATCCTGCCTAGCTCAAAGTGTAGTTAAGTGTCGAGTAGGAATTATTCACTCTTTACTTTAAGCACTGCCGGCAGCCATGTTTCTGATCCTTAATTTATCCATTCATGAAGCGAAATTAAGACAACTAAATGAATGATATCCTTTAAGCAGACATACACTTGTGGATCCAAGTCAAGCTAGAAATATTTCTGTACAACCACATGAAAGGAAAACACAAACTTTTTTTTATGATCCATACATCCCCCCGTGTTTATCATGCATTCTAAATACAGTTAAAGATCTTTAAAAAAAAAAACCCAAAAAATAATCAAATTCTGTCAAGTTCCAGTCCCACCATAGTGGGAAAGGAAAAATGTGGGGTGGCTTTTTTAAGCGTAAAGAACCAGATAATTCACATATGAAGTTTAAACAAATTCCTTTCTTTCTTTCAAGATAATGGGTTAGTCCATATAGATTTGGTCCATTTCTTAGCCATTAACCCATCCCTCATTGTTGGACTTGGCACACGAAGGGCTTGCGTGTGGGCACGAGTATGTACGTGTGCAGATAGCCAACCAAAGTTGCACACGTGATGCGCTTATAATTTAGGCGTTAATTTGTCATCTATCAACCCAGAATAAGGCTGGACCATTTGAGTTAGATGATCATGACAGTTCCATCCTAAGGTCATAAGGTGCAGTCGATTTTAGCGTTGAAACATGTTAAGGGGAAAAGAAAATAGGATGGTCCCTCTTTTTTAATCTTTGCCTGAAGCATCGCCACAAATTGCCTAAACTAATCCACCCTTTGAGACTCTGCTCATGTCTTTTTGTATATATAACACAATCTCACTGTCAAGGATTACAACTTGCTATAAATGAAGACTTATAACTTTAGATCAGACCACACGCTAGTGTTTTGAGGGCAACACATTGTTTTTTTTTTTTCCCTATTCCTGGTATAGGTCCGTTCGTTCTTCTACAATTGAGTTTTCAATTTTTCTTCAATGACTGTCCGTCTGTCTCACGTCGCATGGGCCAGTGGGTTATAGTTTTAGCTAGGCCTGGGACCAAGAACTAGTCTAGAGATGGCAATTTCAAACATTACGACTTTGTTGAGAGAAACTTTTTTGGTTTACCACTCGAATCTATCTAACCGAAGAATTAGGTTAAAAAATCTTCCATCAAATGATCGAATTAAATACCATTTATATACTGTTTGGATTTGCTAGTTGGTGGTTGCAACCAGAAAAGAAAATTTTTAAAATATTCAAATAATAATTGAGTTCTAAAGAGAGACAAGTAACGAAATGTTTCTGTGTATATTTCTTTTGGGTATAAGGCACTATTTATATAGTTAATTATTACGAAGATATCTTTGGAGAGTTAACAACTATGATAGATATATACAAAGAGTAGGTGTTGAAATAAATAACTCATTCCATATCTTTATCAGATTGCTACAGGTGTGTCGATGTGTTGTGAAAGAGTTCTTGTTGTTATTGGACTTATCACTGTTGGAGTTCATGTTGATGCATGAATCTAACACTCCTCAACAAATTAACTATGGTATTAATCTATAAGAAACTGAAATCTCATGGTAGAAAGTGGTTTGGTAAGAATGTTTGCTAGTTGATCCCAACTAGAAATAAATTTTACCTAGAGACTACCTTTTGCAACCATATCTTTAACAAAGTAAAAATTAATTTCAAAATGCTCCGTACGGGCATAAAATAAAGGGTTTACTACTAAATAGGCAAGCACTAATATTATCATACCAAATAGTGAGAGGAGCTTGTAGAGAGACACCAAGTTCCTTTAGTAGAGAAATAACCCAAGATAATTCAACAATTAAGTCATCCACCACCTTGTATCCAACCTCCGTCAAGCTTTTAGCCATAGTCTTTTGTTTAGAAGATCTCCAAAAAATAAGATTGTTACTAAGATAAACTACATAGCCCCCAATGGACTTTTTATCATCGAAAGATCATGTCCAATCGAGTTTGAAAAACTAAAAAGGATAGGATTGGACTTACGGATATGCAAACAATAACTAGCTATGCAGTTAAGATACCGTAGGATTCTTTTCATAGGAACCTAATGGTCCATCTTTGACTCGTACATAAATTGACAAACTTTGTTACCCAAATAGGCAATGTACGGACGAGTAAATGTGACATATTGCAAGACACCAATGATTTATCGATAGAGTGTGGCATTAGAAAAAGCATCTCTTGTTTCCTTTGTTAATTTAGAAGTTGTTAGAATAAGAGTGAATACTAGATCGCATGATAGCGTTCCCTCGCTTTACAAGAATGTTAATAATGTATTCTTTTAAGAAAATAATAGACCTCTGAAGTCTTAATCACTTGAATACTATGAAAAACACTTATTTTTTCAAGATCCCTAATTGCAAATTGTGAGTTTAGGGCGTTGACCATAAATAAGATGAATTGATCATTATTATATGTAAGAAGGATGTCATCCACATATATTGGCGTAAAGACTCGAACCCTCGGGAAGTATAAATAAACAATGAACAATTTGTTTTTGAAGCCACAAATTCAATCAAGAATATTTAAAGATAAGAGAACCAAGCTTGTCGTGATTGTTTCAATCTATAGATAGATTTATGAAGTTTGTAAACATAATCGGAAAATTTATCATCAACAAAGCTAATAGGTTGAGATATATAGACATTATTTGCTAGAGTCTCATTTAGGAAAGCATTGTGCATATTTAATTATTTGACTTAGCATCTATTGTTTTACTCGCTAAAGTGAGAACACACCGAATCGAGATTAGCTTGATGATGGGACTAAAAGTTTCTTCATAATCTACCCCTTTTTATTGGTGAAACTATTTAGTAACTAACTTGGCTTTATATCTTTCAAGGGTCGTCATCTCGCTTTCCTTTTTGTTTCAAAAACCCATTTACCGCCAACAATGTTCATAGAAAGAGAAGAAGGCATTAAAGACCACGTACCGAGCTTTGAGAAGGGTAGTAACCTTAGCAATCATAGTCGATCTCTATGCCAAATGTTTACTAACTTTGGAATAGCAAAATGGTGATTCCAAATATGCACCGGTAGTGGATCGTCATTGAAGCTTGCAGATGAGAATGCTTGGTCATATGTCATAGGACCATGTAATGGGATCGAAGTTGCCTCTAGGGTGGAATGATGAGTACCAACCTGTTTTGTGACTAATTTATAGCCATTAAAATCAAGCATCAAGTTTAACCTTTTATTAGTTTGATGTGAGAGAGGAATGTGGAGGGTTTGAGTAACATCCTTGAATGTGAGGTTTGGGGAGGAAGATTGGAGTTTTTATAGCTGGTTGTAGGCTTCATGGGTCAGTAAATTAAGTTGGGTGAAGTTGAATGGGCTTTGTGGGCTATGGATCACTTGGTAGATTGGAAGCCTTTATAAGGCTATGAGGTGATCCGGACATATGGGTTATGATTAAGCTTGAAAAGTTAGATGAGCTTTGTGAGTTACAAATCAAGGTTGGGTAGCTGGACGGGTTGTGTGGCTTTGTGGCATGCAGAAGCAAGGCCGAGGAACTAGATGGGCTCGCGTAGGTTATGGATCATCATCGGTGAACTAGATAGAGGATGGGTTGAGCTAGAATGAAGGTTTGTTTATCGTGGATTGTAAACCAATTAATGTTAATTTGAATGTGGAAAACTAAAGTTAATGGTGACAGGAAAACTAATTCAAGGGGTTGATTATGATGTTTAGTTTGCTTGAAAATCGAATTGAGTGTCTTGGATAAAGAAATTTTTTTTCTACAAAGCAAACAAGACGAGTAATATATAATCTATTATTTTTAGGATCTAAATCCCAAGTAAGAGAGACTATACTCAAGAAAAACACAAGGAACAAATCTAAAGTCCATTTTGTTTTTATTATGAGGTCTTAAAAAGGAGAAGCAGATACAACTAAATATTTTTAAAAAAGTATAATTCAGGATTTTTTAAAAAATAACTTCAAATGGGGACTTATTCTTAATAATAGGAGATGACATCCTATTGATTAAAAAAAAAACTATTTCGAAAGCAAAATGCCAATAACTATGAAGAAGACTAGCTTCACCTAAAAATGAGTTTCCATAATATGATGGTGATGTCGTTCAATAGTTTCATTTCGTTTGTGTGTGTAGGGGGACATTATATGATGAGCAATACCAATTTTTTTAAAAAATAAATTAAGGCGATGAAATTCACCCTCAATCCGTTTGCACTTGTTTTATTTTATAATTAAATTATCTCTTAACAAATTTTTAAAATTAAAAAAAAATCAAATACTTCGATTTTTTATACAAAGGATAAAACCAAATATACTTAGAATAATGATTAATAAAGGTAACATAATATTTATGACCATTAATAATAAGAGTTGGTAATAGTCTTCATACATCACTAAAAATAAGATTTAAAAACTCAGCACTAACATTAATAGAAGAAGCCAAAGATAATCTGTTAACCTTTCTAAGAGAGCAAGATATATAAGTTTTTAAAGTACTAGAAGTAATCAAATCATTATTTTTTTTTTATCTTAAAAGAGATTAAGAATTTATTTATGTAGACATCCTAATCTAGAGTGCTAAAATTTTGGAAACGTTTTAGCAAAATATGCATGAGGAGTTAAATGTTAGGGAAAAACATATAAGTCGACATCACTCAATTCGAAAAGAAGCAGTTGTCCTATGTATATGATTCTTAACACAAAAAGTAGAATGGTGAAACTCCTAAAATAAGATATTATCACGGCTAATTGTTCAATAGAGAGTAAAAGATGAGTTATTTTTAGAACATGCAAGTACATCAAACATATTAAGAATTTTAGATAGAGTTTGATTACGATTAGTGCCGATATGTTTAATATGTAAGTACTCACTATTGCCAATTTGTAACTAATTTGCTCCTCGATATGGTTCACATGTGCGAGAGATTAGCAAGGTCACAAGTAATATGATGCGAAGCACCAATGTCGGGATATTAAGATTGATTGTGTGAGTATGGAGGATTGATTGGAGACCATGAAGCTAAATTTGTTGTTGGGGGCTTTAGGTGCAGGTAGTGTTGAGAACCATGTAGTACAATACGTTCAAAGACATGTAGAGGTAGTGTTTGCTTTTATTCTCCATTTGATGCCAAGTACCTCAATTACCTCCTTCAATAGCATTATTATATCTATTATAGTATCTTTCCCATTCTCACCTACAATGATTTCTACCATGGTTGGGTGATTCTGATCCGTCAAAGATGCTACCACTAGATATTTGAATAAGATTAATAGTGAGTAGGATTGGTAATAAACTAGTGCTTGGTGCATCAAATAATGAATCATTATAATAGTCTATATTCATGAACTCATAACCGAGTAGAAGACGATGAAGTTCAGTAAATCCTATCGATTTAGGACGTGTAGATAAAGTAGTGACTATATCTTTAAAATCTTTTAAAATGCTCTTAAACATATATAAATTGAACTCTATTACTTGGAGTGGACGATCGGTAGTAGTGAGTTCATCATTGTGTGATTTTTTCCATTAAAGGAATTGAGGGACGGGCTCATTAGGCTTTTGGAGTAACTTTTGTAAAGTTATGTACAAATTCATGATCTTGGTATTAGAAGATAAAGCAAAGGGCATTCTCAAGCACACATAAAATATCACGAGCCGAGTTGTAGTCAATGACCATATGAAAAACCTCAATTGAAAGAGAGGAGATCAAGGTGCTCATGAGTAACTGGTCTTGTTGAATCCAATAAAGTTAGGAAGGAATGTTTTGAAGGAAATCCATTTCATTAGAGAAAAGATGGCTATGAGGGATAGGATTAGAGCCATCTACAAACCTAAAAGTGGTCTTGTCCCAACAAGAAAGGCTTTATTTGAGTATGCCACGGTAAAAAGTTGGTGGAGGTGAGTTTTAGAAAGAGAAAATGATGAGTATTGTGTAAAGAGCTTATAGTAGGGTGATTTCGTGTCGTGAATATGGTATTTCGAGTAGGAAAGGTAGTGTTATAGCTGGCCATTGGTTATAGTATGATAAGGAAAGAAAAAAGGCATGTTAGAGCCGACTCTTTTACCAAATTAAGTTATATGAGAGAGAGAGAGAGACAGTAACGTTATGTTTCGTGTATATTTTTCTTGGCTCTAAGACACTATTTATATAGTTAATTACTATAAAGATATATTTGAAGAGTTAACAACTATGATAGATATATATACAAAAAGTAAGGGTGTGTTTGATAACCTATTTAAGTAGCTTAAAAAATTAAGTTGTAGTGCTTAATATAAAACGTTTATTTGATAATCTAAATAATCTCATATTTAAAATTTAAATTCAATCAAAATTCACTTAATTAGGTAAGTTAAAATTTTTAACTTAAATTTTTTTATTAACACGCTCAGTTAAAAGATATTTAAAACTTTTTAAATATGATTATATAACCCCTAATAATCATTTCTCAGGACACTGCAAATGCTTTAAGATTTTGTCTACTTGAAATATCTCGAGCTCAGACATAGTTGAGTCACTATCAAACTATAAATGGTGTTGTGTCAATGGAGTTTACATTCTTAGTTGAAGCGGATTGATCACAAATTTAACTTTGAGACAACCAAGTGGTGGGAGTACTAGTGCTGTTGTGATAATAATGCATGGAAGGTTTGAGATTTTATCCCTAACTAGGACATCTCTGCCACCAGCACCACCTAGAGCAGGCAATCTTTCTATATTTCTTACAGGAGAATAGGGATATGTAGCGAGAGGATGCGTGGTGGGGCCTTTGATGGCTTCAAGTCTCTTGGTTTTGATAGCAACATCTTTTGCAAATGCAATGTATGATTGGTTACCATTGGAGGAGGATCAGGAGTTAGTACCAACATTATTGGTGCATCAACCAATAACCTAACAATCATTGGGAGTGATTAAAATCAGGTGGGGGGCAAGTGGGTGATGGTGGTAACGATGGTAGTAATGACTGTGGATGTGTACCTTTTTATAATTTGCAAGTGAACAATATGGAGAGCTACCTTTTTGCCACATTCTAAATTTGTGTTAAAAAATATTATATTAAGATTGCAAGGTTAAAATTATTATGTATATAATCTTAATATATTCAACGAATATTATTTATCAAACAACCTTATTATATTCGAGACTTAATTTTTAATAAATATCAAATAGCTTGTCAACAATATATTTAATATTTAATTATTCAAGCACTTAAAATTCAGATACTTAATTTTTAATTTTATCAAACACTACCTAAGTGTTGGAATGAATAACTCATCCCTTGTCTTTATTTGATTCTTGCAAATGTGCTTTGGAATAGTTCCTATTGCTACTGGACTTATCATTGCTAGAGTTCATGTTGTTGCTTCAGCACTTAATTTTTAATAAATATCAAACAGCTTATCAACACAATATTTTAAATACTTAATTATTCAATATTTAAAATTCAGTATTTAATTTTTAATTTTATCAAACATCACCTAAGTGTTGGAATGAATAACGCATCCCTTGTCTTTATTTGATTCTTGTATATGTGTTATGAAAAGTTTTTTTTGCTACTAGACTTATCATTGCTAGAGTTTATAATGCTGCGTGAGTCTAATAATAAATAACACTATTTATTTTATGGATTGATTTTGAAAAAAAGGGACATAAAAAATGAAAAATCACATTCAGAACTGAAAAAATGATTAAAATTTTTTATTTATACCTAATTTATTTTAATTCCCTCGATCCTTTTATGAAATAAAAATAAATATTATTAACTACCTGTTGAGTAATATAAAATTTATAATAAGGGTGGACATTGTGATCAGGTCCAGAGCAATTGCAAACCACAAATTGAATGGTGAAAAAGAGAAGTAAAACTTGCTCAATCGCCTGGTTGGATTATGACCCACAACAAGAAAGTTGCATAAACCTGATTGGACAGTGTCCACATGCATTTGGCCCATTAGGCCATTTCCTACAGCATCGCTGTTGTCCTGCCCAGGCCAACTGAATACTTTGTCGCTACTCACCTTAGCCAGAAATCTTCATCCCCCCTACCCAACTTTTACAAAATCTTGGATAGATTCACAACGTTTCGTTGCTTTCTTTTGTTATGCACCTTGCATTTCAAAAGTTACCTTCCATGGTCATGGTTCTTTCACTAGTCCCATCTCGTCTCTTGCCCTCTACATTAAAGGTCGTGCGACTTTCTCACTTGCAATGACTTTGAATGAACTAAAATAAGATACAAAATGTGGTGCGCTTGATTTGATTGGAAAACATAAGCTGTATCCCCCATGTAGCTCTTATCAAAAGTTTTTGTTCAAGGATTGAACCATCACTGTTTAGGGACGCTCTACCTAACCAAACTTAGGCTCGTTAATTTTAGCCCATCAAAAGTACTGAATTAGGATGCATCGGCCCAAGCTGAGATTCCCATGACCCAGTTTTGTGCCTGCAGCTGCGACAATACGGGGACAACGTGGACCTGTCTGTCTTCTAAGCTCACCCACACCGTGGACATTAGTCAAATCGCTGGCTCGCAATCTCCAATTGCCGCTAATTTGTTAGTACTTAGAAGTAGAAAAAGTTGCTTAGAGGAAAGAAAAGAAAAGATAAAAGAAGATGATTTGGCAATGTGGGCACATGAGGATGAGCTTGAATTTCAATAAATGTTGGACGACTACCGAATCCCTTTTCTTGTTATACGATGATCCTTTGTAATCCAATTGTTAGTTGCTAAAAATAAAATAAAATGACAAGCAAAAAAAACTTTGTCGTCCTCGAGAACATAAACGTGGCCATACTAGCTACACATATAGTGTGTGCACTGTAAGATATAAAGCAGATTTAAGTTTTTGCGACTCTTGATTCATTCATTCAATCGAATAGCAGAACACATCTTATCCTCATCCTAAAAGTATACAATCTTGATTTTGTGTCTTAGCTTATCTATGAAAACTGATTCTTCAAAATACGATTGCTTTTCTTGGTCTCCTCCTGTCTTCCGCAAGGACATTAGATTTTTTTTTTTTTTTCCCGTAAAACTAGAAAGACATTAGATATTTCATATATCTGCATATCAAATCAACTTTATATATATATATATATATCCTACCTAATGGATATCGTTTGTGCTCGAAATTCTTAAGAACTGATCAGATGATTGTTTAACGGACTAATTAAGATGTAGAAAATTAATATTATGATTTATAAAAATAACGAGTTAACCAGTTAAGTAAAAAAAAAATACAAATAATGAAAGATGTAAGATGAAATGAGAAGCAAATAATGCTAGTAAGATATAAGTCAAAGTGACTAAGAGTTGTATAGTCAAAATCCAAACATACAGATTTGACAGCTTTAATTGTTACATGGTGTATGAGTAGGAAAGCTTTGAGAGGGAGAGTTCAATAGTTTCTTTTGCTAAATATCAAAGTTGTAATAAAAAAATTTTGATATGCAATGTTAGTATTCATAGAAAAAGAAGATGATGTTTGACTACTAAAATCATGTCATGTTATTCAAGTTTCGACAATTGGATTTGTCTTAAAGATTTGAGATTTTTTGGATTAAATTGTTTTAACTTGTTAATAAACATTAAAGAAAGTAACAATTGAGCATTTTTTTAAAATAAATTCTATTTTGAATCCACTAAATCAATTTTCCTGATATATTTCAAGATAAGGTATAGATACTAGATTTATCAAAATATTCATATCTATCTTTGCAACTCATGATCTTATAATACATAAAACATACTCCATGTTCAATCTATTTATTGTATAGTTTAATATTTTTCATAAAAATTGAGAGAAAAAAATTCATGTATCAGTCCATAATAGAAATACTTAAATTATTTAATTAATTTTAGAAAAAAAATCGAATATGTACATTATTTATTATGATCAAGAGGTTGGACATTTCATTCTTGGACTTTTTTTTGTGTGGAGATTGTCATTTTCTTGGATAGACAATAGCTAGAAAAATTAATGATTATATAAAAGAACGGCCATTAATTGATTGTGAGAGAGATGCAGTTCCTACTGACTCAACAATATTATAGGAAACTAAGAAGTACCCGCAACCACCACATAAATTCTTGGAAAAAAGATGTTACCAGCTACTTACCGACCTTTTATCTTGTGCACGTGTAGTAGCATCAGTACACGGGAACATTATGCAACTGTACATCAAAAGGTTAGGAACAAATTCATCGCGTACAGGAAAGGATAAGAACCAGGCTAGGTTTTTTGTACTCCCCACCTTATAATGTTCGATTCCACGGTGCTGTGTCTCTAAAATGAAAGCCATGATGTAGTTTGAGTTGCGGTGGATATACATGTCATATCAATAAGAACTGCAGAAATAATAATAATAATAATCATAAGAAATAATAAATAATAATAATAATCATTTGTAGTTTCGACAGCTCACGCTTAACCGAATGAGCTGATGTCTGTAATAGTATCTTCCTTTTTCTGGCTCGAATAGCCCCATTGGGCAAAAAGATTTAAGTTAAAAAGCGATTGCCTGTGCAGACTTGGAACCTGCTACCTTCGCCTTCTTAGGACAACCATCCAACCGAGGACGAATTCCTACAGGTTAATCAAGACAATAACTTGCTACATGAAAAACTCTGCCGTTAGCAAGTATCAGATTTGACATTAGTGAACGTGAACGGGAGGGGATTGATCGTAGAGCATGGAGAGGGAGTTTGCACTCCTTTCTTTTTGAGGAGACATGACATGGACAGGCGTGATCTTCTTCCTAAATTTTAATTTTTGCTCTCTTTTATTTATTATATTTTTTTTCATTGAAAATTTGGGATGTCGTTTGAGCCCAACCCAAGACTAAGGTCATTTGATCAAAGAGTTCCTTGACAGAATTTATGACAACCGGTTCCAAGTTGGGCTAAATGTTGAATGGTAGTGATATATTTTAAAAAGCTTTTTCTTTTTTTTTTTTTCAAAAAAATAAGAATAAGTAGTATCGTCCCCTTTGACTTTTGAGTAGCAAAAAATGGTGCGCGGAGTGATTGGGGATTAACCCTTGCACCCATCCTTGTCGCGTCTCAATTACTTCGGAGAAGAGCATGTATAGGGTTAAATCTTTTGGAATTTGAAATGGTTTAATTGTGTGATTGGTCTTTTTATTCTTGATATTTTTTTTAATATGACGTCTTTATTTTTCTTTCTTTCTTTCTTTTATCATGTATTTCTACTCTAAATATTTTTTAAAATGGCTCATATTATGAGATTTTGTTCAATTTTCTGGTTACTAGTTACAAGTGGCATTTCACGTTAAATAGTAATGTCATATAGAATGATATTATATATAAATTTAAAACGAGCCAAAAATAAAAAATTAATATAACGAAACTGAAAAAAAGAAAAATAATTTTTATTTTTTTATATTGTGTCAATTTTATATGATTTGTCATTTCATATGACACTTTTATCCGACATAAAATATCACATATCATTGTTAGCAAATAAATTGAACCTAATTTTATCAAAGAAACCACATTAAAAAATATCTAGAATAAAAAAAACAAGATAAAAAAAATCATATTAAAAAAATATCAATTGTAAAAGAAAAAATTATTCGATTAAACCATCCCGAACTAGTTAGATTCTCTATTTGAGAAGGAAAAAAATGAATTCAAAAGGAAGAATAAAGAAAATGGAACAATAAAGAGGAGTGCAAGCTGTGGTTTAAATTGGATGGAAGAAAAACATGCTATCGTTTAGTGGCGAAATTAGAATGTTTCTGCTGGAGTAGCTGTGTCCATATTTAGTATGAAAAATTCATTCAAAACGTCAAGAGAGACTCTTAACTGAGGAAAAAAAGAAGATAAAGTGATGAATTAAAAAGTTAAGATAAGAGATTATTTATTATCATTTTCATTCTCTGTAATATAGATTTTTTTAAGGTATCAAGCGTTTGAGATCTCTTTCTTAAAAACAAATTGAATCATCATCGTGTAAACACTTCACTATAAGAAAACCGCTATTTAACGATGAAAAAATCCATTGCTATTCAATGTAAATCCATCGCCAAAAGCGTTTAGTGATGGATTTGCGATCGAAAAAAATCCGTCACCAAAATGCTTGTCGCTAACCTTAACGATAGATAAACATGATCTGTTGCTAATTTAGCAATGATTTTTCTATTGTTAAATCTTTATATTTTGTTGCTATTTAGTCTTCTTCCCACCAAATAACGTATTGCTGAATCCATCACTAATTAATGATCGATGTTCCATCGCTAATATACGAAGCTAATTTCGTTGTCGCTATTCCTCGTAATTTTCATTGCTAAATGTAAAAAATTCCAATGGTAATTCTCCACTAAGTTTATTATTATTTTTTAAAAAATTGATAAATTTTATTTTTTTGTTAGTTTTTAAATTTGTGATATTCTCGGTAGTAACTAACAATTAGAACAAACAACGTATTATAAAATTTAATTTTTTATTAAAATTTAAATATTATAAATTAAATTTAAATTAATATTAATAAAAAATATTCGTTAGTCCATAAGAAAAAAAGAAAAAGAAAAGTAATTAAAAAAATACAATAAATATATCATCAATGTCAAGCATTAAAAAACCCAAAATTTTGGCAATCTCCCCTGTAAATTAGATATTTTCTAATTACACGATAAACAACCTACTTAAAACAGAAAATAATCAAAATACACAACCAACATTTTGAAAATGTATTAAAGTCAATATGATATACTATATGTAACAAATAAAAAAATAAAAAATATATCATAATTCCATCGTTGAAATTAACTTGGATTTTTGCCATCGCAAATTTGTCACGAGTCCGTCGTAAATTATTGCATTTTCAATTTTATCGTCTTTCAATCGCTATTCGGTAGCTAATTAATTAACGATGAAATACAATCAATCGCTAATTACCTATTTTCTTGTAGTGAATCTTGAATTTGAAAGAGAAACAAAATGGAGAAAGTGATGTTTTAAAGATTACTAAAGAGGGAATTGTAGAAGGGTTTGGTTTCTAGAAAAAAGAAATAAAATTCTTAACTTTTATTTCTTAAATTTTCTTTTTCTTTTGTTTTTACACTCAAACAACTTTTTTATTTTATTTCCTTGTAATTTTTTAATTTTTTTATCACGTAATAATTTTATTTGATATGACATAGCATGTATCAATTTTTTTTTGCCATGTAAAATTAGTTAAAAAAAACCATTAGAAAAGCAGCATTAAGAAAATTGAAAAAGTAAACAAATGCAATAAAAAGTAAAAATAAAAATACCATATAAAAAGATATTAAGAATAGAAAAATGTTTCAATGCGAATAATTCTTTTACCATGAGTGCTACGCTTTCACTCACCATAGCCGAGAGCTTGAGACCACTATAGTAACCTGGCGTCATCTAAGCTCCTCTACTGTTTAAGGGTGCCATAGCCACAGCCACCACTCCACCAAACTCGACCATGAAAAGCTAGGTCTCACCTCGGGCTATGTAACTCAACACCAATTTAGCGTTGTAAAATTATTTTCTAAATCTATTTTCAAACTTATTTATCAGCTATTTCAAATTAATTTGTTAAATTTTTATTATAAAATCATATTAAATTGATGTCGGCTTTCAAAATTAAAAGTCTCATGAATTTAGTACTAGTTCCAATTATGTCTTAATACGATCGATATATCAAAAAAACAACCTAATTAGCTAATAGCTTTAAAGTGAGATGCTAAAGGACAATGATCCATATCTATCCTAACTAATTTTTTTATTTATTATTAAGGTGTCAAAGCTGATGTCGTTCCATATTAAACAGGAGACTCATTAGCTCGACATAATTTTTTTAATTAATCCAAGATGGAATGCTTTTTATTCATCATAACAAAAAAAATGCATGAAATCATTGTCGGTTCCTAAAATCTAAAAGACTTAACGATTCCACGTCCTACACAATAAATACAACAATAATCAAACAAAATTTAAATAAAAGGCCAAATTACATCCAAATTTTGAGCATAATTTTATGGCCAGTAGAAGATACTAATACAAAAAAAAATAAAAAATAAAATTGAACCTAAAAACACCTGGAGATATAACAAAGATGCAAAATATAACAACTACCAATTTTTTTTGACAAACTATTGCTACCCTAGCTGAAAAAATAATTTAAATGGAAAACCATCGTATGTCCTAAAAATCTGAAATTCAATGTAAATATTAGAGATAGATTGATGATATCCATACAAAAAAAAAAAAAAAAAAGGTAAAAACATCTAGAGCTACATCAAACATACAAAATACTATAATAGCTATTTCTAACTTGAGAAATCACTCCTACCACCCAAAAAAAAAAAAAACTTAAAAAGATAGCCATCCTATATCATAAAAATTTGAAATTTCACAAAAGGATTGTAGACCTATAGATGATGCTCAAATAAAAAAAATCAAAAAACTAAAAGCATCTAGGGCTATATGAAACATATAACACACAACAATAGCCAACTTTAGCTTGAAAAATTAGTACCATAGTAGCTAACGAGTAACTTAAATGGACAATCATCTTATGTCATAAAGATTTGCAATTTAACATATAGATAGGAGGCTAGTAGATGGTGTTCTCATAAAAAAAATCAGAAAGTAGAAACATTTAAGACTATGTCAAACATGTAAAATATGACGAGTAGTTATTTTTAGCTTGAAAAATCAATACCGTAGTAGACAACAAGATACTTTAAATAGACAACCATCTTATTTTCTATAGGTTTGAAATTTCACACATGGATTAGAAACACATAAATGGTGTTCATACCACAAAAAAAAAAAAAAAAAAAAATGAAAACATCGTGAGCTATACCTAAGATGTAAAATACAACCAAAAACCATATTTGTCATGGTTTAAGTTGATTATGAGATCCATTAACATTAATGAACATCCAAATGTATTTTTTCATACTAAAATTGATAAGAGATGAAGCAAATAAAGGTAGGAGATTACCTATAGAAGTTCAACAAAGGTTAAAAAAAAAAGGTTGCACTTGATAGATTAACTCGTTTTTATACTTGTCGAGATGCTTGGATGATATTTTTATCCTTTTCTTTTCACTTATTCTTCCTTTCTTTCTCTCTAAGCTCTTTATTTTTGGTTTTTCCTTTCTCTATTTTCTCTCTTGCTCTCACTCGTTCTCTCTAAAAAAAACCTAGCCCCCTTAAAAAATGCTACCCCCTTTTTCTTTTTTCTTTCTTTTTTCTCTTTCATTTCTTTTGGTTTTTATCTTATCCTAGCTTCATTATCTGCCTTTAGATCTTCTTTTCTTCATGGATGGTGTGTAGTTTGTTTTTTCTTTCTTTGGTGGCTTGATTCTTGGTTATTTTGAAGGCTTGAAAGAAAGGAAAATGACAAAAGTGAGTTTGTTTTTTGGTCTGAGGTGGTTTTTTTTTTTTTTTTTTGTTCTTATGTTTATGAGGGTTGGATGATTTGTAGTTTTTTTCCTTTTTGTTTTTCTTGTTTTTTTTTCTTTTTTCTATTATTTTTTTAAATTAAAATTATGGGATAATCAAGTAATTTAATCATAAAAATTATAAAAATACCTAAAAATCATAAAAATACCTAAAAACTAGTCCTTAATTTCATTAATTTTTTCTATTAAATTAACCAAGTTCTGTTACTTGACTAACATTCAACCATTCATGTGATAGCATGTGTTAAGGGTAGAACAGTAATTTTTTTGTTTAAGATTATTTAAAATTTTTTTTTTAAAGTTAAAACAATTAATAAGTATTACAAAATCATAAAAAATTGAAAAAAAAATATAATTCGTCCGTTAATTCTTTCGAAAAAAAAGTATAAAAGTATCATTGAAGTAAATAAACAGATATACACTGTTGTACAAACTAGGATAAAATATTATTTTTTGACTTTAGTTGTATAACCTTAAGCACCTAAACCAAGTGAAAACAGTGTTACCGTAATAAAAAGAAAGAAAGACAAAACGAAAGGGTACGAAGAGTGGAGCATCACTTTTACTATAGATTAATAAAACATTACATTACTAAAATTTAAAATCCTAAAAGGAAAGTCCCAGTTACTAAAAACAGTTGTCCCTAAATTGTTTGACGGTAGATTATGCTCATTATGGCTACGAGGTTCGTGGCTGTTACTGCTTAATATTATATGTATTTAACTATGCCATAGAAAACCAGATTGTCGTGGCTAGGGTCATGGTTTGGTACTGAGAAGGCAACGTCGGAAGTGGAGGCTGATCAGACTTTTATATTTAGGCATGTACGAGATCATCATCAATTCGTTTACTATGGTTATTACTCTCCATGGAAGCAACACATATGGGCTGAGTTTGGTGATTCATTAGAGGAAGTCCTCCACCTTGTTGCTGATTTTCATATTGAGGTGAGGTACACTAACAGGTAAGCTTGTTCTTGGAATTGTTCTATAAACTTGTAAGGTTAACTCAGCTCCAGGTAAAGCAGTAGAGACACTGGTTAGGACTTTGATTCTTTTTTTTCCTTCAAATTTTTATGATTTTATAATAATTTTTAATTATTTTAAATTAATTAAAAAAACTGATTTCAAACCAAAAATTATGATTTTACCATTAACTTGACACATGTTACTACATATATGGGTAGACGTTAGTCAATTAAGGGGAATTTGATCAATTTGACGGAAAGAGTTAACGGAGAGGCTAATTTATACTAACATCTACCAGTACAAGGTTTGTATGTACTATAGCTTGATAGAGGAGTTAAAAGGAATTTTTTTTGATAGTATAGAGGCGTGGGGCTTATTTACCTCGTACTAGGTTGATATATTTTGGTTAGAGAGGTCCCTGTATGGTGCAACTTGTGGTGGTGCAAAAGTCTCCGGAGGTGGTGCTTATGGGGGTATATGTTGCTTTTAAGGTGTTGACAAGAATGTAATTAAAAACTTATTTGTTCTTGTGCCATTATATATGTTTTTATTAAGATTCCGATGTGTCATTTTAGGTGGAGAACATGACTAATGGAATACTAAGCTGGCAAAATCAAAAGAAGTGAAGCAAGTTGGAGTTTTGTAATTATCAATCATGGATGAAAACTTGTTGATGGACAAGTAAAAAAAATTAGGGTTTGATTTTTTACTCAATTTCCATAGATGATGCCATTGATCGAGTAGTTCATCATCGTAGTATGATTGTTGATGAAATGGCTTACAACTTAGGCTGATCTTGTGTTTGTTGTAGTTTGATGGATGTTGATTCATTTACAAATACTTACAAAACAAGTTCTTTTTTGATAGTTAGAGGATTCTCTAATAACTAAATTAGTTTATGAAAATAAATGTTTAGTCTTAGTAAACTGTAAGAGATTACCTCTTGTATAAAAAAGTTGGTTGATAATGTAATTATTTTGAACATAAAAGGTAGAAATTGTAATTTTCGACTTGTTAGCCTTATATAGAAGAAGGTGAGATTAACTTATATGGAGTAAGGGTTAAAACAACCTTTTTTTTTTTTTTAACATTCAACGGTTCTTGACATTCACTTAAGGGTTTAAAACTCTTTTAAGCGATAATCGTTATTTGATAGCTTGTGTGCAGTCATAATTGGTGATAATGTAACATGAACTCCTAAGAAGTCATGCTTTCATTAAATAAATGTCCTTTTGGTCTATCAAATGGGTTGAAAAATATCTTTTTTGTTCAAATCATCTGTTTGTATTAACTAGTTAAGTTTTGCCCAATCGTTGTGGCTATTGGCTTCTAGTCGAAATTATTCTATTTAGAGAGAATTCTTTATTGGATAGTTTTTAAGTAGAGCAGAAGACATGTATTCTAATTATGACTGTATATAGGAATATCACTAATAATAATCATGTGTTTGAACCCATATACCTTTCAAATTATTTTTTTATTATGAAAAGAGACTAAAATTCAAGAACTTTAAGAACATGAGTGCCAATTGAGTTATAGACTCCTTGCTATAGTCCAAAGTAGTAATCAAACATCATTCTCTCTCTCTCACTCTCTTTCTCCCTCTCCCTATATATATATTTCCAAATTTAGAGTTTAAAAGGTGTTCACAAAAAATGATTGAAATCCATAATAGTTATGTGATTATATAAATAAAAGACCTCCACCTAACAAAACTTTAAAGTTGAATTTCTTTTAAATTAATTTAGTTTGATTATTAATAATTAGAAATTTATTTTAAATTTTATTTCACATGAACTTAACTTTCAAAATGATATTATTCTATTTATGTGCGTGAGAGAGAGAGTTTTTGTTTTCTTCAAAAATTAGCTCTATTTTTAAAATTCTTTTTTTCACTTTCATCATTAAACATATCCCTTCACAGATTCAAGTGCTTATTTTTATTATTTCACCCAAAAAAAAAAAAAAAAAGGAAAAAAATTTGAGCTTCCAAGATCCACTTTCCTATCTTGGGCCTGTTTTGACTCGTGGAATTCCATAAATCAGATGATGGTTGAATTATTGTCTCCCTTTAATAATTATAGTAAATGAAAAAGAGAGGGGGTGGAGGGATCCATCAAGAATGGTAAATACCCATGGGATCAGGAACTGCTCCTTAACTAGTTGCCTAACTTTGTCAAGCTCGTGCTTTCGATCTCATCGAAGGGCAAACTACTGTTTCTGGGCTAACCAGAAGTTGACACGCCCGTGATGGGACCCCACATTTGATTGTGACAATTCCAAAAACAAGGAGTAATTATTATGGTCCTCATTAAAATGAAAGATACCTACCTGACTACCTAAGTACGCATGTCGCGGCATGCTGTCCTGTATGGCTGACTACCACACCGTCCATCTGTTAAATCAATGCAAGCAAATAACATGCATAAAATAATATCATGTATTATCATATTAAAAAATCACAGCATTTTTGTTTTTTGTTTTTTGTTTTTTGTAATGAATGAAATGAATTATCATTGATCAAAGAAATAAAAACAGGCGCCAATCCCTGCTACAAAAGCACAAACAATAAACGGAATTTACACCAATTCCCAATTATATCAAACAGAAAATTTTTTTCCTCAATATCTTATAGTTGCTTCATAAATTATTGTATTTTATTTATACGACGATATAGACTTAAAAATATTATTTATAAATTTTTTCCTTGCAAAAAATAAAATGAATCACCCATTTTTAACAAATAAATTCATGGTTATAATATATTTATGATAGATAAATGTAACAGAAATGGTAGTTCAAAAAATAAAAAGTAACAAAAATACAAAGCAGTATTATATAATTATATATATTTGTTGTCTGAATGCACGTTATCTAATTCTATATAAAACTAATCTATATATGATGAGAAAATGATAAGCAATAAAGTTCTATACCTAATTTTCATCAGCTTTCAACAAAAAATTAGGCTGCTTTGTGTGATGTTAGTTAAGTAGCCCAAAATTGGCACATGAGGAAGTCATAAATTAGAGATTGGTTATGAATTATTTCGCATTTACCTTCTTTTTTTTCTTTTCTCTATTTGTACAAAATAAAAATTGTCGATAGAAGACGTACGAGACGATCTATTTCACCAGATGTCCTAAAAGGATCGAGATAATTTTATTTAACTGCCTTACAAAGAAGTACTTCTCATTTCGTTGGAAAAAGAAGACAAATTCTCATTTGTTTTTGTTCAAAATTACTTCAAATTAATTTGTTTATTATTTTCATAGCAGTAACTCTCAAAGCAAGAGCCTACAAATATGCAGCGGCCGTATGCAAGCGACGTCAAATTATTGGATCGGGAGACTTGGAATAGAACAAGACTGAATGGTTCCTGTAATTTTTTTATTCTTTTTTTAAGAGATAAACCAACGAAAGGCAAAACACGCTTTTACCAAATTTAACGGGCATTTGTTAGATATTTGAGTTGCAAACTTTTCATTTTTTTTATTCAAATATCTTAACTTTATATTTTTATGTAAGTATGTCATTTTTAATTTTTTTAATCAAGTGTTTATGTTTGATTTATATTGACATTGTTGATAAATTGATATGCAACGTGAATATAAACATTTTATTTTCTTTTTAATTTGGTTAATGATTTAGGATTTTTTTATTATTTTGTTTGTTTTCAATTGTATTTATTTACTAAATTTTTCATTAATTTCTTCCCTCTATTATTATTTTACGTCTTAATTTTATTTCTTTGTCCAAATTTTCAGATAATAATATCAATTTTTGACAACAAACGCACTAGATGCTAACACGTGATAATTTTTTATTTAAATAAATAAATAAAATTCTTAAAAAATAAAAAATCCCAAAATACCCTCTCCTTTTCTTTGCTTTTTGCTTATGTTTCTTATTATGTTACCAAAAAAAATTAGAAAAAAAAATTCTTTGGGTTTGGATTTTAAATAAATTTATGAAATATATATACATTTTTTTTTTTTTGGCTTTTGTCCCTTCTTATACATAAAAAAGTAGAGAAAAAGATGAGCATTTTGGCTTTTTTTTTTCAAACATTTATTTATTTTCTCTTAAAAAAATTATCGCGTCTCAACATCCCGTGCTTCTATCATCGAAAATTAATGTCGTTACCTAAAAATTTAGACGAGAGAAGCAAAACTAAGACACAAAATAATAGTAGAGGGGCATAATTAATAAAAAATTTAGTAAAAAGTATACGATTAAGACAGACGAAATAGTAGAGAGATATACCGAACCATTAACCAATTTTTAATTCAGTGTTTGTAGTTGTATTTTTCTATTTAAGTATATGCACTTTTTTTTACTATATATACTTCATTTTTTTTAATGGATAATTGCTATTAATTTTGAGTTCTAATGAATATCTACTTTGCAATTTTATATAAGCCATGTTTTGATCGACTTACATAAAACTAATATTTTAAACAACAAAAAATGATAACCATCCCTTCAATTTAAAAGAAAATAAGAATAACATTTGACTTGTTAAAATAAAATAAAAAATTACATTTCTTAATTTTCTAAACTTTCTCACAAATCAAACAAATTTCCATCACTAATTTTAAAAGGATAAAAAAATCAGCAAATTCATCACAAAACAAACCTGATTTTTTAATACAATTTTATATATTATAATTTCTCAATAAAATCTTTGATCTCTCGCATATGCCCACGCACACACATATATTTCATACCAATTGCCATCAAAACCCTTCATTTAATATAGTTATTTTGTTGGTTTATTTATTTTTCATTTTCTCATCTAATCAGTTGCAATAAACACAAATTTATTTTTTGATGTTTTTTTATTATTATGTTCTTTTAATTTAAGTAATTTTTTTTGTCTATTTTGTTGTTTAAAATTTTAATTTAATTATTTTGATCAAAACATGGCCTACGCAAGATTACAAAGTAGATATTCGTTAGAATTAAAAAAATGATAGCACCAATTGATTTTTTTTTTCAAAGTACAAGCACTCCAAAGAAAAAACAAAATATGTAAACTCAAATAAAAAATAAAAATAAAAATACATACAATCAGTTAGAAAAAAAAATACACTCTTAAATAGAAACATTAGCTTACTGACATATCAATTTAACGATCATGTCAACATGAATCTAACAAACCACCGAAAGGTGTAGGTAGAGTGGTAATAAAAGTATATTTTTGACTCACCATGTATGGAGTTTAATTTTCAAACATAAAAAGTTCTCTTTTTTTTTTTTTTTTCTTCCTTTATGTGACAATAGATATTGGCTGCATGCTATTAGTCTAAAAAAGTATGATCTTTAAAATCGTTCAAAAGCTAAGTGAGATTTGACGCTAATCTATTTTAAAAAGTAATGGACTTTAGTTTCAATTGATGTGAAAATTAATTAGTCCGAAGATACTACACTACCCGTAAATTCGAAAAAAAAAACATAAATATAACAAAAGTACTTGATTAAAAAAATTGAAAATTTGCATACTCAAATAAAAAAAAAATGGAACACTTAAATAGAATATTCAAAGAGATAGAGATAGAGACGGTACGGGAGGGAATGGAAGGGAGATATAAATGAAGGAAAATATATCTGAGAATGAGATGGATATAGATTATGGAATTTTAAAAGGGAGGGAATACATTATCGAGAAGGAGGAAAATTTGAATTATCAAAGGGATATTCCATTATTGTTTTTTTATTCCTCTTAGAGATCTTGGGAAAAAATTTGACAGGACGAAGGAATTTTTGCCGAGGGAATCAAAATTTTGAAAAATGATTGGAGGGATTTTTCAACTTTAGACGAAATTATGGATTGATTTTTCTAATTATTTCTAAAATTCAAAAAAAAATTCTTGAATTTATTAAATTAATTTCAATTGAATATTTAATCAAAAAATATTTTCCATGGGAGATAATTTAAAAAATAATTTTATTTTTATATAAAAATAAATTCAATTTTTTTTCAAAAATTTTATGCAAACCATGAAATATCAGTAAGAAAAACTTTACGTTGGTAATTACCAATGGAAGTTTTTCCATCTGCAAAAACTATTTTTCTTGTACTATAATCATTGAACTAACGCTTCATTGCCAGCAACTAAATTTTTAAAACTCTTTCCACAGAATATCGCAAGTTCAAATATATGAGAATATTTTGTTAGATTAGTGGTAATTACCTCTTTATTGTATGAACTACAATTACTTCAAGTAATTAATTATTGAATCCAAACTTTTTGCAACGAGCTATATTGGTGATTTTTGAATACGGAAAAGCTTGAGAGAAAAATAGAAAGAGAAGAAAAATCCCAATTCTCCTCAATGTTACATTAGAAAAATCTTAACACTCTTCTATGCTTGCAATACATTTATATAGGCGAAAAAAGAAGAAAGGAAAAACGGCTAACTAAAAAGAAAGAGAAGAAGAAACTATTTGCTAGCTAATATCTAACTAATTAATTGTAATAGTTATAACATACATAATTAAAGAGACTAATATCCACGTGTAGCTCCTCCTTTAATACTTCCCCTCAACAACGATCATGAATATCTTCAATGCTCATCTTGCCTAGAAGAAGATGAAATTAAGAAGGTTGTAGAGCTTTGGTGAACAAGTCCGCAACTCGCATATCAATTGGGACAAATTCGGTTTAATAATGTTGGCAAGAACCTTTTTTTCTAATAAAAAGGCAATCAATTTTGATGTATTTTGCTCTTTGATGGAAGATAGGATTCTTACTAATATGGATTGTTGATCGGTTATCATACTTGAGAATCACTTGCTTATTTATTATTGAAACCCAAATCTTTCGGTAATGATAATAACTAAATTAATTCACAATAAAAAGAAGCCATGGCTCTATACTCTACGTCAATTAAGCTTCGGCTACTAAAGATTGCTTTTTCAATTTTTAGGCGATAAAAGAGCCAACAAAAAGAACATAAAAATCAATAAGCGATCTACGAGAATCCGGACAACCTGTCTAGTCATTGTTTGCAAAAACTTAAAGTTGCACACCAAAATTTGTTATCCAAGAGCATGCTTTAGGTACCTCAATACCACTAAAAGCTACCTGTAAATGTATGATAGTAGGTTTGTCTATAAATTGAAAAAGAACCCGAGTTGCAAAGCAAATATCGGGCCTTATGAAAGCTAAATATAACAACTTTCCTACTAGCTACTTGTAACCGGTAAGATCTTCTAAGAAATTAGAATCTAGCTTGACCAATTTGACATTAGGATCCATTGAAGTTGAAGCCGATTTAACCCCTAGCAAACCATGTTATGTCATGTTATGTCAATAGATCAATAACATATTTTCTTTGGCATAAAGATAAACCTTTTGAAGATTTATCCATCTTAATCTCAAGGAAAAACTTAAATTGCCTAAATCCTTCATCTTGAACCGAGAATAAAGATACTATTTAAATTCCTTAATGATGTCCGTTAAATTGCTAATAATAATGTTTTCAACATACACAAGCAAAACAAAAAAACCACTTGATGAAATCTGCTTAGTAAACAAGGAGTAATTTGTCTTTGGCTTTAAAAACCCAAAGGATAGCGAGGGAATGGTCGGCTTTGCATTCCATTGTGTAGATGCTTATGTTAATCAATATAAGGATTTTTTTAAGCTTACATACTAGTCTTGTGTGAGCAAAATACTCCCATTAGACCTTATACCTTGGTGGAAGGTCCATGTAAAGCTGTCTCATGTAAATCTCCATAGAGAAAATCATTGCGACATCCGTTTAAGATAGAAACCGAGTTTGGGATGTCTGTAAGAGCTAAGAACATCCTTACTCGTTGTCCGTTTAACCACAAGGCTAAAGGTTTCTTGAAAATCAAAACCTTCATTTTGACTATAGCCCTTAATAACCGACCGAGCTTTATATTAATCAATACTCCCATCGACATGAAGTTTGATCTTATATACCCATTTATAACCTACGATATGTTGATTGAAAGGAAGAGGAATAATTCTCCAAGTATGATTGTCCTTAAAGGCATCTAGTTCCGCCTTCATGACTACTTGTTAATGTTTAGAACGCATAGATTGTTGTTAGGATTGAGGCTCAATAATTATGGAAAGAAAAGTGATAAATAAGGCACGAGAAAAGGAAAGATGTGTTGTAGAAATAAATTTCGAATGGGATACTTTGTTGAATTGACGAAGAAACCTTAGAGAAATCTTTGGAAGGAAGAGTGGTGTGATATTTTGACGAGATACTTTGGTCGTCTACTAGTTCTACTAGTTTTTTTAATAAGAGTCGAAGGAACAACGGGATCACAAGTGGATTATGGATAATCATCATCTAGAGAAAGAGACATATTAATTGGATAAAATCCAGAAATAAAATTA